GGACAGGCGCTCTGAAGAGCGCCTCCTGGCGGCTAGGCCCAAATCCTTCACTGCAGGCAAGGGACCGGACCTGGCAAAATACCTACACACACCAGCACACACGCTCACACGATGTCCAAGTTCGTACACTCGCTCTGACACATTAAACTCAACCCTACAGATAGATCCTGAGGATCGACCCTGTAGGGGGTTCTGAGGAGAGAAGCAAGGAATATGATACAGGCCTTGCCCTGAGAAAAACTCAGAATAATTAGGAAGGGAAAGATACACAGGCAGGTAAGTCATGAGATGGTGGCATGCAGTACTGCCCTAGAAAGTGCTGTGGATCTTAGAAGTTGAAGACACTATGACATCTTGCCAGGGATATCTGGAAATATAATGCTGGTGATGATGATAATGATGATGATAGTTGCTATGAGCACCTATAAGGTACCAGATGCCAATCTGGTGGGCACTTTGCATTATCTCAATTAATGCTCACAACAGGTTCCCGGCATGTGTGTCATTATCTTCATTTTACACATGAGAAACACTAGACACTAACTCAAGGTCACTTAACAAGTAGAAGAGCCAGGATTCACACCAGGAAAAATGAGGCTAAGAGGTTCTAAGGCTGTGAGAATCACATGCATGAATGCTGGGTGGGAGGGAATCTGGAAAGAAGATAAGATGGGGTCTGGCTGTAGCAGAGCCAGAGCAAGGGATGAGGAATGAAAGGCAGAGATGGTAGGTGCTAGACTGTAAGGACTTGAAGGTCAGCACAAGGACTGTGTTCAGTTTAACAAGGCCATAGGGAGCCACTGCAGGGTATGTTTGCACAAGCAGATCTGCCCTTTAGGAAGATTAATCAGGCAGCCATGTGGAGGATGGATAAGAGCTGGGTGAAAGACAGTTTGAGAGGTTATGCACAAATCCAGAACCCCCAGGCCCTTAACAAAGGCATTAGCAACAATAGGAGAGAGGAAGGTAGGAATGGAGGAAGTATTATGAAGCTACAGTCTCCCAACTTCTCCTTCTGTGCCCCCATCCCAATTGTACTCACCAGTTCCTAGTGTGATCTGCTATGCATGGTCTATCTTCCCAGCCCACTGAATGCTCTGACAGGCAGTGCTGGAACTCCTTCTTCTCTGCCGTAACCCCAGTACCCAGAATAGTGTCTGGCACAGAGCAGGTGCTTAAGGAATACATATGAGTTAATGAATGAGTGCATGGATGAGTGAATGAGGAATTTAATGACTGAGGTTTTCACTTGAAGCAACTGGAACAAAGGATGCTTCCCCTAATAAAAGATGGTTGTGGGGTTGCAAGGATAAAATTGATCTTGGACAGATTGAATTGGAGATGATTCTCATAACAGCATTCAGCAGAGAATTAAATATACAGGTTTGGGAGAGAAAATGGATGGATAGATAGATAGGGACACTAAATCTCTAGAAGTAGATGAGATTTCTATGGGAAACGTAGGGAAAAGAGGTGCAGTGAGAAGGGAGAATTTCCTTAGAGAATACCTACATATTAAAGGGAAAGAAAGGAGCCAGCAAAGGAGAGAGACCTGAGAGGTAGAATGAAATCCACAAGAGTGCTGTGTCATAGAATTCAGGAGGAGATTCAAAAGGCTAAAAAAATTTGAGGAAGGGAGGCAGATGCAGCATCTGATGCTATGGAAGGAGGAGGAAGAGGGGAGGGCAGTGAAAATACTCCTGGTCTGGCATTTAGAAAGCCTACTGGCTACTCTGATCAGGGCGTTTAGATGTAGAGACAGCAGGTTTCTGGTCTCACAACACAATGGACTTGACCTGGATGTGAAGATGTGGAAACACTAAGTGCAGACCTCATCATCACAATATCAGGACAAGGATTAATAGGAATGCAGGGTTCAGGGAAGAAGTTGGAGACAAAGGGGATCCAAGACATCTTCGGAGAGGACACAGAAGAAGTGAAGAAGAGAGGGTGATAAATGGACCAAGAATGTTGTGGAAAGAGAAAAATCCAGAGCACAGGCAGATGGATTGGCTTAGGACAGAAGGAGGGGAATCCCCCAAGAGGCAAGAAAGGGGAGGTTAGAGAAGTCCACACTAGCTGGCATTCATCATTTTGATAACAGCTACTGTTTACTGAGCACAGGCATGTGCCAAAAACATGATTATGTTTAACTTTTCAAAGTAGCTGGGGATGTAGCCCAGTGGTTCTGCCGCCTGCCTTGCAAGTACAAGGACCCAAGTTCAATCCCAGGTACCAAAAAAAAAAGCTTTTCAAAGTGGAAGCATAATCCTCATTTTATAGAGAAGACCTGGTATCAAAGAGCTTAGGTCAGTTACCATTGCACAGCTAGAAAATGACAGCATCTGTGTCGCATCAGGTAGGCCTAACCCCAGAGTTCAGGCCCCCTACACTGCACAAGACAAGATAAGGGAGAAAAGTCACCTTGGGGAGGGAGGATAAGGAGTAGCCTTGGTCTAGAGAAATGAAGAATCAGGTTAGGAGACTCTCAACAGAATGAACAAGAGATTGTTTAAAGCTGGGGTCACTTCTTAGCTTTTGGTTAAAATCAAGTGCTCAACAGCTGGGAGAGCCACACTGGGATTGGGCAGCAGGACTCTGGGGTAGACCTAAAAGCTTGGCTAAGTAACCCCAATAGGCTACGTAAGGGCCACCCTGAGCAATAGAGATGTACGCATTGAGAAGGCTCAGTCCTTGAGCAGATGTGCTTTGCAAATTTGGGGAGAGATGGCAGAGATAGTCAATGTCTCCTGAATAAATGCATGAAAACACAGGTGTCTGGAGTAAGGTGAAAGTCTGGTGATAAAGTGATGGTATGTTGAGTTCAAGTGGTGCCTACAGAACAGCCAAGAGTAGATGCCCAAAAGAAGCCAAATGTATTTCTTTTATTTATTCATTGTCTATTTCTCTACATACACATGTGAGCATGTGTACACACACACACACACACACACACACACACCCCTCAGAACATAATCTGCATGAGGACAAGGCTTTGCTTTCTTGTTCACCAATAATCCCCAGTGCCTAACACATCAATTAGTACATACTAGGTGCTCAGTTAATATTTGTGGCACAAATAGATATGGAGATCTTGGGCCCAGATAAAAGGTCTAAGCGTCTAAGTTGTCCTTAAAACCCCTAAAATATAAGAGTGGCCCCAGGGTAATTTAGAGAGGGAAAAGTGGCAAAGCCTGAGGTCAGAGTCCTGAGGAATAAGCTTATGTAAAGGACAGAAAGAAGAGGATCCAGTAAAGGGAAGAGAGAAAAAAAAAGAAAGAAGGGTACAGTGGAAGGAAAGGAAGAACAGTCACAGAGCCCCAAAAGGAGAGGGTCTGAGGATACAGTGGGGAGGTCAGCCACACTGCAGATACTCCAGTATAAGCCCTGGGAAAAAAAGCCTAGAAAATCAGTTGGTCCTGGAGAGAGACTTGCCAGAGTCCTGCACAAGTCAGGTACAGGGCTGGTACTGAGGCCCAAGTGTCCTGACTACCCATTTGGAACATCTTAGATTAGAGCCCTGCATCTTCTACCACCACCTGCCAATTCCTTGAGCTCCATGTATACACTGAGAAAGAACTCAAGAATTCCTGAAACCACTTGATTATTACATTGCTCATTTCCTGTTCTGAGAATGAAGTTGTTTCCCAAGGTCTTAAATCAATTGAAAAAAAAAACATCTTGACTGAACTGAGAAACCTTCAGACTCCGATTTCTGGGTCAGGGTGGGTTCCCTAATATTTCCTGGAATGCCTTTCTTTTTTGGCCTAAATGTAGTCTACATAAATATGTAGTTAGCAGTGGCTCCTATTGTACTGCAAGAACTTGATCAGTATCTCTTCTCCTTCACATCAGTACAAGGTAGCCTTATTAGTCCCCACTTTTCAGGGAACAAATTGAATCTTTCCCAGGTACTCATACATAGACTGCAAGTGTTAAGTCTAAGATTCTGAACCAGTTGTGTCTGATGCCAAAGCCCCTGAGGATTTTTTTCCCCATTATGTCATGATTTTCTCTATCCCAAAACAACCTATCAAGATGTCTGATTATGCTGATAAGTTACTGGTCCCCATACTAGAAAAACCTCAGCCTGCCAATAAGATTTCTCATTTTGAAAGAAATGGGGAAATCCATCAAAGGAGAGCCAGTGACCTTGAAAACCTAGTTGCAACATCCAGCCTGGCTTCTTGGCTACCGTTTCCTAGGACCCAAATCATAAAAAGTCCAAGGCTTTGGGCGTAGGCATGGCCTCAGCTGACCACCAAAACACAATGTATTCTGGACAGCCCATGAATGTTCCCATTCACACATGAAAAGAGATTTGTGGTGGCTTTATCAGTTCAAGAGCCTCTGAAACTGAGTGGTTAAAATAAAAAGAAACTCTGTCAGTTAGAGTATTGGGGTTTATCTCAGGGATACAGGGGAATATGGCAAAAAGAAAGCTGAAGATGAAGTTTCCAGGCCTCTAGTCTTCCTCTTCCCACCATTACTAATGGAAGAGTTCCATTTTTACATGTTTTGCATACTGAGATTCCTATTAAATTTTTATTAGGATAAAATCTTCTGAGGCAAAAATATAACAATAAAAAGATAATAAAAACTGAAAGTTGGTGATTTAGGGAAAAGGGAAGGAGAACAACACTAGCAGAGTACCTACAAGGCCTATGCTAAGTACTTTGAAGGCCCTAAGCCCCAAGATTATGATTCTAATAACCCCCATGTGTAATTCAAAATAAAAATCAACATTAAGCTACAAAACACAAAACTTACTTGTATACTGAAGTAAAAATAACTGATTTGTCCATTTGTCCCATTTCCACAGTCTGGACATGCTTCTCCAAGCCCACTGTTCCCATTTCTCCACGCACCTCTGATATGTTGGTGCCACAGCACATGCCCAGTCATTGCATAGGTAGATCCTCAAGCCTAGATGGATTCTTTCCACTCTCCACGGTAACCCTAGGAAAGGAAGCACTGCCATTTCTGTCTCAGAGAGGAGAAAACTGGGGGCTTAGAGGTTAAATGATTTGCTGAAGATCATACAGCACATAATGAATGAGCATGGCACAAAAACACAGCTCTGTCTGACCCCAAATTCCAGGCTTATTCCAATACTCTTGGCTTTGATCAAGTTAGAGCAATGTGGTCAAGAGAAAGGCTATAAAATAGAGATCAGAAGCTGTGTGGAAGCACACGTTTCTGGTACATTGCAAGTGCTCAATAAATTGCTGCTTCCTTCTCCATCCCAGCCTCAGACTAGTGGTCCCTGCCTCTGCACTGGAGTGAGGGCTCAATGTGTGGGACTCCTTTGCCCTGCCTGAGCAGAGGCATCTCCCACGTGACTCTTACCTTCTCTTTTCCAGGTTGAAACACCTCTCCCAGCCAGGCCAGCCAGGAGCACAGAGCGCAAATTCAGCCGTGGGCTAGAGCAAGCTAATCAGAACCAGCAGCATGGACTTCGTCATGAAGCAGGCCCTCGGAGGTGAGCCCCACATCATACACCCCCAATCGGGGGATCCTAACCCAGGTGGAAGGGACCTTCAGACCATTTGCCCCCTCTCCCTATCCCTGTCCCCCTACATGACCCTGCCCTTTCCCTCCCTATACTGTCCACTCAGGGGCCACCAAGGACATGGGGAAAATGTTGGGCGGAGAGGAAGAGAAGGACCCGGATGCTCAGAAGAAGGAGGAAGAGCGGCAGGAGGCTCTGCGGCAGCAGGAAGAGGAACGCAAGGCCAAGCATGCACGCATGGAGGCCGAGCGTGAGAAGGTCCGGCAGCAGATCCGAGACAAGGTCAGCACCCCATGAAGGGTAACAGAGAAGAGGGGTAAACTGATCCCCTGAGACCCTGACCTCTGGCTTCCCTGGATCCCAGTTTTCACCTTAGACCTAGTACTCTCTGAGCCTCACTTTTCTCATCAGAAAAAAATGGGTGTCACAGGAAGCACTCCCTTAAAAGACGACTGTGGGGATTAATGCTCATAAAAGAAAAGTGCTACAGGTCCAAGACCCTTGGGGCCAAATATATGTGGAATGCAGAATCTGTGGATGTTAAAGAAAATCCCCTAGTGGGGCTGCCACCTATGCCAAACAAGTCAGTGCATGCCTGGGAGCACCAGGCAACAAATCAAGACTATAAGTAGTCTTCTGCTGTTTCAAACCTGGGGTTGTCACCAAAATTTTTTTTTAATCCAGACCTATGAGAAAACTATCAGTATTTAGATCTTTGGGATTTCAAAAGAGCAACAAGTTATAAAGGGCAGGTATGAGATTTAAAGAAAACCCCAGTCTCCATCTCTACCTTATTAATCACCTACTGAGGATCAAGCACAGTCCTGCAGGGATGGCACCCTTAACCCCAATTTTTGAGGAGGAGACTGAGGTTCAAGAAGTGTTCCTGAAGCTGGGTGTAGTTTCGCACACCTATAATACTAGCACTCAGGAGGCTGAGGCAGGAGGATTGCTGCAATTTAGAGACCAGCCTAGGCTACATAGTGAGTTCCAGGTCAGTCTTAACTACATAGTGAGACCCTGTCTTAAAAAGAAGAAGTGTTCCTGAGCCACCTCAAGCCAGTGTGCATGACTCAGAGACCCAGCTCTTTCCTTACCTCCCCTGTCATACTCTTCTCTGTTCTCCCCCACCCCAGTATGGGCTGAAGAAGAAGGAGGAGAAGGAGGCAGAGGAGAAGGCAGCCCTTGAACAGCCCTGTGAGGGAAGCCTGACCCGGCCCAAGAAGGCCATCCCTGCAGGCTGTGGGGATGAGGAGGAGGAAGAAGAGGAGAGCATCCTGGACACGGTGCTCAAATACCTGCCTGGGCCACTGCAGGACATGTTCAAGAAGTAACGGGCTCTCCTGCTCCAGCCTCACTCCACTTGTTACATTTTTTTTTTGTTGTTGTTGTTGTTGTTTCTTTTCTTTTTATTCAGTTAAATCTCAGTTCTGAAGGGGAAAACCTCAGTTGGCCTCTGCCCCACTTCCCTGGCCAGGGGTCCCTCCCCTCAGCACTCTCTGACACCCCATTTCATCCCAGGGTATCAAGTCCCACCCCACTCCCAAGTACAGTAGTTTGAAAAGGGAAGACAGCTTTTCTGTAGCAGGGGGCACTGAACCCAGGGCCAAAGGCACTGGATGGCTCCCTCTAGAAGCGTACGGTCTATGTTAGTGTGGTAACCCCCATACATTCCTTCATGCTCCCCACTGCCAGGAGGACCACTGTCCCCAGCCAGCCAAAGTAATGACACATTCCAGCCCTGCCCAGCATGCTGACCTTTGGCCTCTGATCCTCCAGCGGATCTCCAGGTCAGGGCAGGAGCACTGAGGGGCCTGGCTCTGAGGGAATCAGGGTAAGCCTGTCTCATGAGGACATAGCCTGAGAGGTCCCAGGTCTAGACAGGCTAGGATCTGTTCAGGAGGCTGGGGCTCTCCTTTTTCTCTCTCCCTGGTGACACCCAGCCCAGGAGCACACCCTTCCCAAACCTCACCCAGAGAGGCATGGCCCCTGCCAGGTTGGTCCCTCCAAATGGATCCTCTTTGGACTTTAACACATCTGTGGAGGAACCCAGGATAGGGTAACCCTTTGTTCTCTTCCACTCCACTTAGGTCCTGGGACCCCACTGCCAGGCTGGGCCCAGCTTGCTCAGCCAAGGGGCTTCCCAGGCCCCAAAAAACACTTGGAGCCATCGGGCAGTGATAGTCTATGCCGTGGGATCCCCACTTTGGTGTGACCACACTGCCCCCATCCCTATCTATCCCTCTTCCACACTCTGTCCTGTCCATGTGCTTCCAGGGCCCCATGGTCCCCAAGAGGACCCTTCCTGGCCAAAGCCCCAAGTTGCTGGGGAGAAGCCAGCCCCCATTTGATAGAAGGCATCTGTCTATTCATCCCACCGGCCAAGAACAAACTCTCCTCTGGGATGTATGGGACTGGCATTTGCCCCCCAGTCACCTCCAGATTGCCAAGGCCACCTCCTCAGCCAGTTTTGTGAGAATGGTGTTGGGGCAGAGGGGAGTACCAAATGAAGGAGGAAAGTGAGTTTATGTGTGGCACAGAGTGTAACAGAGATGGTATCAGCAATTGTGTGTCCAGAGATTTTATGTAGGTATGTGTGGTTGGAGTATGGTGTACCTTGAGATTGTGTGTGTGTGTGTGTGTGTGTGTGTGTGTGTTAGTTATCATTATCTCCATGTTAGTGACTGTATATGTTAGGCAGCCTTGTTATGTGTGTTTGTTTGAGGTGGTATAGTTGAGTTGTGATTGTGTCCCATTTGCCAGCCATCTTATATGTGTTTAGAGAGTGCATGTGTTAGCTTGAATATGCATGTGTTTTCACAATGGCATGTGTGTCAGGAGAAATGAGTATATGTTAGATGTCACAGAAGTGTATGTTTGAAAGAATTGCCGGATGTGTTAATACTGTCATGTTCTCGTGTGTGGGTCCGAAAAAGCAGCTGTATGCATGGATGTGTGTTTAGAGAGAAAGAAAGTGGCTAAGATGCTCCCTCCCAGCCTTCAGACCATTGATCACAGGTGGCCACATCTGACAGGAGACCTTGTCCTTCGCCTAGAGTCCTCCCACCCTTAGGGGGGTTCCTGCCTGAGGTCCTCAGAATTCCACTGGAACAGACCCAGGCAATACTCCAGGAAGCCATGCTAGGCCCCCACCAGGGCCTATCCCAAAAGCAGGGGCCAGGGAGGGGGCGACTTGCCTGCCCCTGAAGCCTTTGCCCCATTGGCCTGTTTGCATTTTGCAGGTTTTCCATTTTAGTGGATTTATGCTTTTATTTCAGAGAGACACGTGTCTTCTCTGTCCGTTTCCAATAGTTAAAGCCATATCAGTTAGACTGCAATACTTTAAAGATGAAACAAAACAATCCATATGTTTAGGGAACCAAAAGAGTCCCCTGATCTGTCCCTTCTCTGAGGAGCAGGGCCCTGGAAGCTCCAGCTCCCTGGGCTTATCCTCCTCCCCCACCCCACACCTTCCCTTTGTGCCCGTCTCAGGCCCCCCAGGGGGCCATGTCTGTGTCTGTGCCTATGTCTGTGATGGGGAGCCACCTTGCACCCCTGATGTCTGTTTGTCTGTGTCTTTTTACCTGGGCAGGATGGTCATTCTCAAGAGTCCTGGGCCAGAGACAACAGGGCCCAGTTAAGAGGTCCCAGGCTTCCCTAGTCCCTTTGTGGGAGTCACATTGGACACAGGAGTAGATACTGGTGTTAAAACAGGTCTCTCCCTTGAGAGGGACCCTCAGACATTAAAGGCAGGGCCAGGGTATGGAGTGCCAAATAGGTGGCAGAGACCAAGACTCAGAGAGCTGCAGATAAGCAAGGTAACCTAGCCATTCAATATATCTCAACACCTTAGACAGTGTCCCTGTGGTCTTCACAGCCCCTGTGGACCCCAGAGTGGGCTTTGAGCTTTTCAGGTCCACCTTAGTCCCCTCTAAGCTGGACTGGCTTAGTCTGAGTGCACCTCCCAGACTCCTCCATCCTACTCCCAGGCAGCAGGACTCGAGGTCTTTCTGGAGGTGGGGCAATTGGACAAGAATTTCTGCCTGGTGCATCCCTGCTTCCTCCAATGGAAAGTGATCACTGTCAGATCCAGGGGGAAGCAATTAACACAGACCTGACTATAATGAGAAGCCTGAAGTGTAGGCCATAGAGGATGTCTGTGTGCAACACACTCGTAGGAGGAGAAAATATACAGAAGATGCTCTAGCAGGGACGGGGTGTTCATGCGGTGTACCTGGGATGGACATATGTGTTGTTCACTGAATGGGAGGAGGGATGAGTGTGTCACGCAGAAATGGGACGGTGTACTTGATACACAATGAGAGGGAGAGTGGCCCAAGAATTCAGCACACTCATATGACACACAAGGGAGGAGTAATTTTTGGTAGGTGACTAAAAACAGAATGATCACATTCTGAAAATGTGTATGTGTGGTATGTGGGTATGTGTGTCCTTGGGCAGGGCCACCCAGGCTCCTCCTGTCCCTAGGATTCTCCACCAGCGAGAAGAGCCTTCTCTGAGTTTCCTTGTGCTGGGCACTGGTAATGGGCCAGGATTTCCAAATGTGGATGTCTCTATCTAGGCCCAAAAATGCCCAGAAGGCATGTCCTTAACAGCAAACCTTTGTAGTGTGCTTGTTCAAATGGAAGCAGGATGTCAAGAGGGCATCCCAGGTGTATATGAGAGAGACTGAGAAAGTGAGAGTATGGAAAAGAGAGCTAGAAGTATTGCAGCCCAGGGCTCCTTCCAAGTGGGGCAGCTGGTGGGCAAAGCAGCCATCCAAAAGGCTTGTGGCTAGAGTAAAATAGGGGATTTTCCAGGCCCAAGGGGAGGGTTACCAACCTCCACAGTCCAACTGTTCTGGCCTTCTAGAGTTCCACAGGGTTTTTGGCTGCACAGGGAGGCTGAAGTCAGACCTGCTCCAATAAGGAGGACATGCCTCCCACCCGATGTCCCCTGCTCCAGTCTCCATTCCTGCTGCCCCACCCTCTTCACTGGGGAGAAAACGGGAGGTGCTCGTGCTGGCCCTGGGACACAGCTAGGGGTCCTACTGAGACCCAGGAGAGATGGACCATCCTGCTCATGCGGGGGAGCCCTCTTCCCGCATCTGTGCTGTGTCTTTGTTGCTCTGCTTCTTTTAAATGTGTCAGTGCCTGGGGGGAGGGGAGGGCCACCCTCTCATGCCCCACTGAACCTGACCTAAAGCCATGGCTGTTGCTCCCCACTTTGTATGACGCAAATGCTAAGATGTACAAAACCAACCATGATAACAAAGAAAAAGACCTTGTACAGCAGCTCTCTGTGGTATGTCCTCTTCTGTCTATCGGCACCACCAGGGATAAAAAGGGGCACCACTTTATCAGTGAAGGGCGACAACCTACAAAGCTCAAGAGGCCCCAGAAAACCATCCATTTTGCTGTTTCTGGCCAGGACACTGTGGAAATGACTCCCAAAATCACCTGAGCCATGGGTTGGAGCTGGGTCCCAGGATTCCAGGGTCACTCCATCTCCCTATGTCAACTCTGAAACCTCAAAGGCTGAGAGGGACAAGTTGACACCTCATCACACACATCCCAAGCTCCTCAGGGTGTGGCATCCTTAGAATGCCATGAAGTCACATGGGAGAGCAAAGATCTAGCATCCTGCAAACACTGATGGAGCATCACCTCTCTCCCAGACCATCTACAGGAGGCTGGGACACAGAGGATACTACTCAGCACTACTCCTAGACACAGATGCTTCCCTGTCCTTGCTGAAGAATCCTGACAAGATCAGAGCCCCTCTCCACTCTTGCACCCTCGACACCCTGTCTGTAGTTAGGCCTCATTTCTCCCCACTTCCCTCTGTTATGCAACTGGTCTCCCACATACTAATCAACCCCTTTGTTTCATCCATCCTCCATCAGCCTAGCCCCAACTAGAAGGTTAATCTAAAATGCAGGGGTTCAACATGTCACTCACTCCCTGCGCAACACCCTCCAATGGCCAATCAGATAACATCCAAATGGTCAAAATTGCCCTGAGTGACATGATACCAACATGCCTGGTCAGACCTACACCCACCTTGTTGCTCCAAGTGCCCTCATTCCCCAAACATACCATTCTGTATCATATGTGCAGATCTTGTCCCCTCTGCCTGAGAATGGGTGGTACTCTTCCTCTCCTTGGCACACTCCTCAAACTTCTCAAGATCCAGCTCAACATCATCTCCTCTGTGAGGCCCACCCTGATAAAGTCCCCCGTCATTTGACCAGACCACAATCTATTGCTGCACCCACCTAACACAGAGCATCACAGTGATTGCTCCAACAGCCCTGGATGTGTGGACAGGCTCTGCACCCAGCAAAGTGAGCTTGAGCAAGACACTTAAGACCTATGGGTGTTCGCTTGTAAGTGAAGTGAAATGATAATAATTGCTGTGACCTCTCCAGTTACTGTGATGAGTAAATGGGGTCCTGTGTGCACACGTTTATCACTGAGTGTCAAGCAGTCAATGAATGGCACTTTGCAAATTCTATTGTAAGTAATGTCAATGTACATGTCTCCCCTAACTTGAGCACTCTATAAGGCAATATATATTTATTATCTGAGTTTTGTGGATAAGAAGTCTGGGTACAAGCTTAGTTGGATCCTTTACTTCAAGGTCCCTCACAAAGCTGCAGTCAAGTGTAGACCAGGGCTGGGGTCTCATTACAAGGCTCACTTCCAAGCTCATGTGGTTATTGGCAGATTCAGTTCTATTGAACTGGAGGAACTGGAGGCTTCAGTTCCTTGCTGGTTGTCCAACTGGTGACAGTCTTCTGTTCCTTGCCCTGTGGGCTCCTCCACTGGGGCAGCTCAAAACATGGCAGCTTACTTCATTAAAGCATGAAAGCCAAGAAGGCAATAGAGAGAATCTGCTACCAAGCCACAATGTTAATGTAACCTAACTACAGAAGCAATGTCCCATCACCTTTATTACAGATCCTACCCACACTTAAGGGGAGGGAATTACAAAAGGCTGTGAATACCAGGATGAGGGACTACTGAGAGTCCTAGAAGCTGCTCTCCACAGATATTGAGCCAAATGTCTACCTTCCCTACAAAGTGCTAGAGTTGAGCAGGGCCTCAGAGGCATTAGAGCTCCAAAGCTCTTCAGCCATAGGGTTCCAGGTGGTAGATGAAGTGTCTCAGAGGCCAATGGTGAGTTCCCCAAGGACTGAAGGCCTTCCAAGACTAAACTAGAGAGAAAAATACTAGAGAGAAAGAAAACATTAGGGCTGTGGGCTTCCATGGGAGTCCATCTGTATTGTCTGCCCAGAATTCCAGATACTGTCCTCCTGAAATTCAGTTCCCTCCTCAGTAAACAACCCATACCAAGACACCTCGATGATTTTCACCAGCTCCCACTTCCTCTCCATTCCACTGGAGGTGGATCCCAAAGCACTCACTGGGTGAATCCCATCCTACTAGGTGGGTTCCAAAGTACCCTGTGCCCTACTGGAATGAGGTGAAGGAGGCAGACTGGGGAGATTCACAGGAATAAAAATTGGCAAGGTTGGATGTGGGCAGCATGGAGAAAAGAGATGTCTGGACCAATGCCTGTCACTCTATTTTGGATGGTACCACTCTCCAAGACCTGGAACTTGGATAGGGGACAGCTTCAGAGGAAGATCATGAGTTTGGTGCTGCTGGGTGTCAGTAATCTAGGGAGAATGCAGTGGGCCATCTATGCCCCACACTGACTCACCCAGTTGAAGCCCAAACAGCACTTTGCATGGGCTAGAATGGATCAAGACTGTGACCACTGGCTCACCACAAGATTAAAACACCTGGAAGTCAAGAAACCTGGAGTGGGAAGGGGATTTAAATATAATCCAGGAATTCCTTCTATACCTTCATCAGTAAGGGCACTCTCTTGCTTGCATGCCGCATAGTGTCAGGGAGCTCATTTTAGCCAAACAACTCTCGCTCCTCAACTGAAAGCTGCCAGGAAGCAGAGGGTTAATGAAGCATCCTCCAGCATCTCTCTAATTGACTGCAAAACTCTGCTTCTAGACCACTCACTTAGCACTTGTAATTAATTGGGGTTGCTTGCATGATCTGAGAAATGATTCGATACCCCCTGAGGACAATGTTTTCTCAGCTGGGATCCTCTAGCTGGAGACTTCTCTACACACCCAGCCTCTCCACAGGCACTGACCTGGGTATGCAGACACAGCCCCTTCCTCTCTATATGAGCTCAGACAGCTCCAAACATAGAACCAGCAAATGGTACAGGCTTAGTAGATGGCATCAGAAAGAGCTGGTGTCACTATCTCCTTGGACTCCAGACCTACATCATCTATCCTACCTGGAGGAGGCCCAGGGGTCAACAACTCTTGGCCACATCAACTCCCTGCTCCTCTCATTGTGAGTGGCACTTGACATAGCCATGTCTATATGAAGGTTAAGGCAGCCCATATTAATAATATACATAAGAAGAGGGAGGGTGAGGGAGCTCCACTCACTAACCACCTGCTGTATGCCATACATAAAAGTTAATTGCTTTAAAGCACCACCTCTCATCTTGACAGCAGTCTACATGGTCAGTATTCTTCCTGTTTTACATGTGAGAAAGCTGAGGCTTGGAAGAAGAATATAAAAGGTATGAGGCTTTCAACTCAGACCTGGCTCTGCATTTTTCCATCTGATCTTGGGCAGGTGATTCAACTGTTCTGGACCTTAGTGTCACTATTTTTTTTTTTTTTTTAATCAGGGATCAAACTCAGGACCTTGCACTTGCAAGACAGATGGCAGAACCACCGAGCTAAATCCCCGGCCCAGTTTCACTATCTATTTTAAAAATAAGTATAATAATGTCTAACACCACCATCACTACCATCAAGATTAATGAAGAAATTAGATTAAATATCTGTAAATCCCCAATCACAGTGCCTGGCATATCATAGGTTTTTTTTTCATAGTTTTAAAAATTAATAGTCATTGTTATTACAATGGCATGTCTGGTGAAGAAAACTAAGAATAGGAAGAAAGGAAGGAGAAGAAATGAGAAGGATTAAAATAAGAATTAATTATAATAAAAGCCCTCCAGTCATCCAAAGAGTAAACTGGGACGCCTAGATTTTGAAACCAAATCTGTCTTGTGTCTTTCCACCACAACACAAGACAAACTGAGAAGTAAGGGTCGAGAGAGAGAGTTAGGGGACAGAAGGGAATAACTGTCACCTTCTGGAAGCTCTCTTGAATCTTCAGCTCAAAATAGACTTAGCAATGTGTAGTAGTTATCTGTCACTGCATAACAAATTACCCTAAAACTTAGTGTCTGCCAGCAGTAAATATTTCATTTTCTCTCACTGTTTCTGTGGGTCACAGTTTCTGGCATGAATTAACTGGGTAGTTCTAGATTGGGATCCATCATGAAACTTAAGAAAGATGGCAGCCAGAGCAGCAGTCTCATCTGCAGGTTCAAATGGGCTGGAAGTTGTACCTCTGAGGTGGCTCATCACATTTCTAGCAGTTGGTTCTGGCTGTTGGCAGGAGACATCCTTTCTGGGGAAGCCTCTTTGTAGAACTTGCTGAATGCCCTCCAATATGGCAGCTAGCCTCCAGAGTGGGCTGTCCAGGAGAGCAAGGTGGAAGCTGCAGTGTCACTTGTGACCTAGTTTTGGAAGCCACAAGCTATCGCTTCTGAAGTATTCTGTGGGTTACCCAGACCAGCTTTGATTCACAAAGCATGACTCTCTGAAGGTAAGCTCACTGGGTACTGGCCCCTCTTGGAGGCTACCTACTTCTCACAATACAGTATAGACCTCAAGTCACTTGCAGCTCTTTCTTCAGGACCAAGTCAGTAAACCCTCCTTCGTTTATCCATCCACTCAGCAAACATTTCCTTCTCCCTTTCTGCCTTCAGCAAACTCTCCCCAGTGGTTATCTACTGGGCTAAGGACTGCCTTTCAGACTTGACATGCTCATGGGAGCTGACAGACTGGCATGCAAACCAACACACAGCAGGGCACCAAAAGAAAACATCTGGATTTTTACCAGTCAGACCTGGTTTCAAGCCTGGCTTGAAATTTTGAAGATATTTGACCTGGAGCATTTTACTTTTTCTCACTGAGGCTCCATAAAAAGCAGAAAGACTTACAAAGCTCAGATACTGCAACAAATTATTAAAATGCTGGGCACATACCAGTTTTCAACGAATGACAACTAAGACAATTGCTGGTCTAAACAAATAGAAATTGTAACCCCTCATTTGGACAGCAACTCCTCAAGGCTTTCCCTATACCCTAAGGGAAGGCTGGTATACTGGA